TTCTCTCTACCAAACATTAAAAAAAATAATGAAGTTTCATGTCTGCTATTAAAACTCGACTTTATACTTGGTAGACATTATAAAATGTATCCACCATTTTCTTGAACTTGAAATGAAAGTTAACAAATTGAAATACTTTCAGGTTGCTTATCCCGGTGCAGACTTTGGTCGAAGAGGAAGGTATCTCAATCCTGTCTCTACGGGATGACAAGGGACATACGCCAGCACACTGGGCATGCCTAGGTGGCCACACAGCAATCCTCAGGTATGCGTGTTGACATTTTTCACAGGGGCTGATTACTGATTTAAGAATCGACATCATAGCACACGGGGCATACCCATAGGTGCTCCGTCTCCCACAGCAGATGTCTTAAGGTGTAGATGCTAACTGTTCCTGTAGCACACTGATTATACACACATCGTTCTCTTCCTCTCAAATGTCCCTCCTTGCCAGATCGACACTTAGTTCCTCATTCACACATTCTGTCACATATTGTTTTATCTAATCTCGTGTCTTCTGTCAACAGTTGTTCATATATGGTCTTCAGAATATCTCCCTTGACCCGTACGAGTATTCCCATAGCTTTTGCTTTTGTAGCCAGAAAATCCACTTTTTTTTATTCCCTTGCACACTTGCATGTCCCAGACAGTAAATCTAAGTGATTCCCTGCAATGTTGCCATAATGATGTTCGTTATCCACTGATGCCACATTAGTCCTTTTTGAAGCTTCTTCAGTGCCGATTGAGAATCAGACACAATAATTCCTCTGGTAACTGTTTTCTGCCATCTAAATCAGAGCTGCATGACTGTTCATTCCACACTGTCATTTAATAATTTAACTCTTTCAGTCTCAAGTGCTTGTTACTTTAACCTCCTCTTTCCTGAAAAATTCAGCTTAAAAGCTGTAAATACCTAGGTCTGTAGGCATTCAACATTGACACTATGTTACATAAGTAGTTGAAACTAATAATTCAGATAGTTACACACACACACACACACACACACACATACACACACAAAAATATGTATGTGACCTTTTTCCACATCTTCGGGTGTATTGGGCATGAAGAGCTGGACCTATATTTTATAGACCAATTGGCACTTGGTGAGTGATGTGGTCAGCATCGTGCCGATCACGTTTACTTTCCAGGATGTTTAGATTGTACTCATTTAAGGCTCGGTTGACCTGGGAGCCGAGGTCATTATTGAAAAAAAGTCCATTTGAACCCATGACCTTTAGACCCACAGGTGAGCGTCTAGCCATTGCTGCTCCCAATAATTCAGTCAGGTGCAAAGGTTTAATGTAATATCTGTCTCTGATAATATAAGAACATCACATTAACTTTTTTGAGACCAAGAAATGTATGGTGAGTTGATAATGATGAAAGAGTTAATAAAGTTTATTTTAGCCCACCTCTTTATGCTGTTCAGTAAATCTTTGTCTTCTCTATCCCACTTTAACATGTTCCCATACAGTGTGCTGATGTCTCAATCCCCTTTTTTCTGTTGATATGTCCCATATAATTTTTTTTCTGTGTTTTTTTCTGTTACCAGAGTTAAACATGGACCATTGCTACAATTATTAAAAATCAAAACTGAGATTGAATGGCTCAAACAGGCTGCTGGAATAACAAATAAAATAAAAAAAGGTGTGATAACATAAAAAATTAAGAAATTACAAGTCTGGAACTTGAAATCGGTCATAGAATTCATGAAAGAATAACAGGGAATATCCACAGCAAAGTGGTCAAACTATTTGTCTCATGTTCTGAGGGTCTTAAGTTTAATTTCATACATGTTTAGCTATTGTGGATATCTTATTACAGGTTGGTGGTTTTTTTCTCTCCAAATTTATTATGAAGAGAATAAGAATAGCCAAAGATATTTTCAACAAGTTACACAAATTATTGACATCTTGAAACTTCTTCTTTGTTCACCGGTGTTAGCTCCTGCAAAAAGTCCTGGTTGTTCCTCCATTTGGACTTTGACTTTGTGCCAGGGCCTGAGTTTTGGGTGTACATCTGTTTTACTGGCTTATTTGTGTGCAGTTGGTTGTTCCTTGCCGCTCAGGCAGATGCACTCTGACTTTGAAGGAAGCCCCCAATTAGTCAACTCCTGTGACATCCTTGTTGGGGAAGCAGTGGGTCTGTTGTTGTTTTCCCTCACAATGGAACCCCAAAATCCACACAGGGAGACATCTGGAAACATAAATACATTCATAAAAGAAGAAAAATTTTTTGAAGTGACAAATTTTCTTATCACAATAGTGATCACGCATTTGGAGAGAAAACTGAACATAATTTAGTTAATCAAGATTGAGGTAATGAAATTCATAATATGTTTTAATCACCACTGATCACTTGCATCAGGAGAGCTAATAGACTGGAATGGTTGGGGCATAATGAAAGAATGTCTGATGACAGAGAAGTAAAAACTGTATACACGAGGGAGATGAATGGTCGTAGACCACGAGGCAGACCAAGAAGAAAATAGAGAGATAATATCCAATCAGACCTGCAAACACTTGGTGTCACAAACTGGAAAGAGAAGGCCAATCAGAGATGAATGGAGACAGGTGGTATCTGCAGCAATGAACCTCAAGGGCTAGGAATGCTGAAGAAGAATAAAGAATGAGTTTGTATCAATAGCATGCCTCCTCATAGCTCAATATAACACTATCGTCTGGAAAGGCGGAAAGGTGTCAACGATGAGTGAGAACCTCAAGGGCTCGGAATGCTGAAGAAGAAGAAGAAGAAGATTGAGGTGAAGATGTTGGGACTGGATAGGTCGCACTTTGCAAAAACCTGGTATTAATATAACTTAATGTCCTTTTCGCAGATTATGTAGGAATTATTTACGAAACTTTTCGATATATTTGATTCCAAAGGCTGGTGTGGACATTGACACAACGGACAACAAACATTGCACTCCTCTGATCGTGGCAGCCCAGTATGGACAGACCATGCTGGCCGGCTATCTCATGGGGAAAGGTGCAAGATTACAGCTCACAGACAAAGATGGTGATAATGCCCTGCACTGGGCAGCTTTCAAAGGTGATTGTTTCATGATTCATTTTGTATTTGGGTCATCTCAGGTTATTCATCATGAACAATTGTAACAAGTTGTTTGTTCCCTTCTGAATGACCTAGGCATTCAGGTCTCCACTGATTTTGGTCCTTGTTGTTTTCAGTACTAATGTTCTTCTGTGCGATCGCCTCAGACTATCCAGCATAACTTTATACAGCCAGCCTTTGCTTTTGCTTGTTCTGTCACTGACATTTTTATTTGTCAAGTTCTGCAATGCCTCTCTTTTCAACTACATAACCTTCCCGCATGGGTTCTGGAGCCTCATACTGGAAGGGGGGTGGGAGGGGGTAAGAAGATCCAGTACCTCCTTAACAAACCTGCTGTAGAAGTTGACTAATTAGAGGTTTCCTTCGAAGTTGGAGTGCATCTGCTGAGGAGACAAGGAACCAACAGTCTTCTTACACATTAGCCAGATCTGTAAAATGGATGTGCATGCAAAACTCTAATTCTGGAACAAGACTAAAGTCTAGAAGTGGTCAAACAATCAGAATTTTTCCCCCCAAGTTTACAGCCCGTGAACATGAAATGAAAGAGATGATGATGAATTGACATCACTGCAAATGGACATTTCTGCACATCCTCTAATCCCGTCCTCAGTCACCACTGTCTGCTACTGATACCATTGACAAAGTACATTGACATGCCTGCGAATGGAACCAGATCTGCATGTGTCGTAACTTTTCAGTTACTCCGTCCCCATTGAATGTACAATATTAATGGCATGATGCATGCATTTATTCTCTTGTAAGAATACATTATTTTGAATACTGGGTCTGATGAGTTCAAATAATATGTCTGTGAGACAACGTCATGTAGTAGGTACTTTGCAGAACGTCACTCTCATCATGATTCACCTGAAAGAAACTCTCGCCAGCTCTCCTGCCCCATGTACTTTTATATTGAAGGAGTCACTTATATCCTGTGCCCAAATTCGTGTTGATCGGCCCCTGCCCCTCCTTTCTGGTACCATGCCTTTTGCTTTTATTTTGTCCAATCCGCCATGGCGCTTGATATGACCAGAATATTTTCAGTTTCCGAGATATGATGCTGTTTATTAGCCAATCTTCCTTGATGTTTAGATCTTTAAAAACATCGGTATTTCTTCTCTTCTTTGTCCATGGTATTCTGAGAATCTTTCTATAGCACTTCAGCTCTAAAGTCCCTATTTTATTTCTTAAGGCCTGGGAGATAGTCCATGACTCACCTCGAAAGAGAAGAGAAGGTAAAGTAAGAATTGGGGTCCCAGTTGGAAAGTGTCACAATATTGGGTCTCAGGAAGTTCAGAAAAAAGTAGACCAATTCAGATGAAGCCATCCTTCTATGGGTTCTGTGGTCCCATTGTGGGGAAAAAAAGGAATAGTCCCCACTGCCTACCCGAAAGCATATTGTAAGAGTCAACTAATTAAGAGCTTCCTTGGAAGTCGGAGTACATTTACCTGAGAGGCAAGGGACCAACAGTCTGCATACAAGTGAGTCAGATCTGTGAAATGGATTTGCACGCAACACTCAGTTTCCGGAACAGGATTAGAGTCCAGAAGTGGCACATGATCACCGGCATCATTTAACATTTCTTTTTTTTAAAACAGTAAGAAATTGTGAATGATGCGGATATAGTGATAAAGAATTCTAGGTAACTGAATTTGTTCTTTTTAAATATCATAATGCACAGTATCAAAATGAATTGATTTTTCTTCATTCCCAAAAAGTCATACATTTATTTATTTGTTCCTTTCAAAACATCAAAATAAGGAAGTTTTCCTTCTGAAAAATTAAACTGATTTGTTCTTACTGAATAAATTTATAATTTGTTTCCTCCAAAATATAAGGAATTAAGTTGTTCTATCTCACTGGCACAGTAAATTTATTTCTACCTTTCAAATGTAATAATAAATTTGGCTTGTTCCTTCTCAAGGTCATAATGAACTGATGCGACTGCTGATTTACTCCGGTTTTAACCCAAAGCAGAAAGATAATTTTGGCCAGACTGCTCTACACCTGGCATGTATTAATGGGAACCTTACTGCTGTCAAAGAATTATGTGAAGAGGTAGGATGTGGTGGGAGGGCATGTGTTGGTGTGTTTATGTGAGACAGTAAATAGTAAGGGGTTCGATGTTAACTATGTGGGCCCAGTTGCTATGTGAAACTGAATATTCTTTGTGTGGGCTAGATTATTATCTGTGTGAGCTTGTGTATTATCTGTGTGAGCTAGAATATTATCAGAGTGCGCTTGAATATTATCTGTTTGTTTAAATATTGTCTTTATGAGTCAAAGTATAGGTAAAGAAATGGAAGTGGGTGTCTGCAGCAGGCCATAATGTAGAGAAATTAGTTGAAGAAGACAGTCTGTTCGGCATATGACAAGTATTGATAAATTAGGAAAACGATGTCTGCAGCATGTCTTAACAGAGGATAAGACACAAAGAATAGTAAGTGTATAACACACATATATAAATAGTTGTTTTAAAATCTTTAACATACAGAAGGATACCAGGCTTTGTGTCATGGACCTATATTCCCTGCAATTCTTATAACTGCAATGACGCTGGTTCACATATCCAGACTTTACCTTTAATGTACAATTTACCTATATTTATCAAACCCCATCTGAATATTTGTGTATGTTGATTTTTTCACAACTGTACTTTAGCTGTATTCATAATATGAGCAAAGACAACATTGGGCCTGCACATTTATGTGCATTTTCTTTAGGCTAGGTGAACTACTTTTGGGTATGTATGAGAGAGTTTGCAGGGGTATGAATGAGTGTGTCTAAGTGTGTATGTGTGAGCATATGTATTTATGTATTTATGTGTATGTCCCCCCCCCTCTCTTTCTCTCTCTCTCTCTCTCTCTGTATGTGTGCATTTATTTACCATCCATGTTCTGATGTGTGTATGTTTATTTTTAAACTTGATATTCATATTATGTATATTGTTAAATGAACATGCTTTATTAATAAAATACAATTGTGGTTTGAAAGATGAGTGTTTGGAAGGGCTGAATTAAGACGGGCCTGCATGTGTGACCCATTAAAAATAAAGTTCATTCATTCTGCCTTTAATCTCCCAAAGGGGCATTGGTCAAAACCTTTGTTGACTTTCTCGTGACTAGATGCATTCTGTAACTAAAGTTTTCTATGGAATGAGGTGGCCATTCTCATCTCAACCTTTTTTTTTTTATCACCTCCTATGACTTTTTTGAGAGGTTACTGTATTAGCTTCCCCTATGGTCCTGATCTGGCATGAGTGGCAGTTCCACTCCTCGCCTCCCCCAATTCAAATAGTTTGTCCTCTGTTGCTGTTTTTACATAATTGTCTTTGGCACAAGACCAACCCCTTATGGTTACATCATCATTTCATCAGTTCTCGTTATGCCTAGTGGCACATGAGGCTTCAGAGAGGACTTTCCATGCTTTCCTGTCCTGTGCAATCTTCAGTGCAGTTTTCCATGTCAAAGATGCCGCACTCATGTCACTTTCCATCGTTTGTCTCCATGTTGTTTTTGGGCGACCCTGTTTTCTCTTTCCCTCTGGTGTCCATGTGAGAGCTGTTTTGGCAGGTATATCAGAATTCATTCTGATAAGGTGGCCAAGTCATTTCCATCTTCTCTTGGCAATCATACTGTCTAAAGTTTCTTTGTTTGTGGCTTGAAGTAGTAGTTTAGTGTTTGAGATTGTATTTGGCCAGAAAATTTTGATGATTCTATGTAGACATGTGTGGTGGAAGGTGGACAGCTTGTGTGCATCCTTTTTGGTCACTCTCCAGCATTCCGCTCCATAAAGAAGAACTGGCAAAATGATGCTCTTGTAGAGTCGGAGTTTCGTTCCTCTGCAGTACCATGAATTAGGAGAAAAACCACTAGATAATCAGCATGCAAAGCTCAATGTTTTGAGCTAGTTTACTTAGAATCAAGGAAATCAAGGAACGTGTATGCATAATAGTTACCTTACTTGCTTATCTGGGCCAAGAGAGGCAATGCTATCTTTTCCTACTACTACAGTTCTGAGTTGGACCCAGCCACATACAAATTGGCAGATGATAACTTTCAGGATTTTCTGAGAAGGAAAAGCATTGAGAAAGGGCGTTGGCCATCCCACCTTTTATGTTCTGCATATATGAAGGCCTCACTTTTAAAACCCTAGTGGCAGTAGCTGTATTCCACTGATTCTACCTTTATTCGAAATTAAATCAATACATTAAAAAAAAATGAACTCAGATTAATAAAATCTCTTTTACAGGATGGAGTGGAAGTGAATCTGCCAGACAACAATGGAAAAACACCCCTACAGCTGGCCATTGGTCGAAAGCATGACGCTGTTGTTAACTATTTGAAAGTGGAGCTGCAAGATAGAAACAGTTTGTTGCCACGGATTGATTGGTGGTATGTAAACGTGTGTGAATATTCACGTTTGCCGGCTGCAAACTCCAATGTAAAGTCCTGGTTGTTTGCCTACTTCTGGACTTTTGTCTTTTTCCAGGACTTGAGTGTTGCATGCGCATGCGTTTTTACAGATCTGGCCTAACTGTGAAGACTGTTGGTTCCTCGCCTCGCACAAACACTTCGACTTTAAAAAAAATTTCAGTCCTATCTGCTTGGCCAGGCTCCCATTTCTAGGATAGCCATGTGAAGGTGTAGATAGGTTGTGACCAGTATGTGTCCTGGTACATCACCATTTGCAGTTGAGCACCTCTGCATTCTCTGAGCTGTGAGCATGAAACATATTTGGTAATGTATTCTTGCGAAAATAAACATGGCCTATTCTGTAGATTTTGACGGTCAGCATAAATTAGTAATAGTTGCTTAAGAGATTTGGCTTCCTGTGTTGACACAATCTAAATCGCGGGTTCCAGAAAAAAGTAAAGAAGGTTGGCATGATGTTGATCTTATGACCTCTTGAGTGCAGATTTGTCTATAAAAATATGGGCCTAACACCATATGCCCAGTGTGTCACAGGCTTGGAAAGGGTCTTTTACTTTAAAAAAAAATGTGATTATGTTATCACAAACATTTGAGGGGGTGGGGGGGTGTCTAAGTGCTGGTGAATTTTCAGTGCTTGGCAACCCAGTATCATCTTTCGTCTGCTTTTCCTTTTCTTTTGTGTTCACCATTAAAAGGACAGTTTTAGTTTGCGGCTAGACTATGAGATCTATGCCTTTGGGTCCAACTCATCGGATTTGAGGAAACCCTAAATTAGCTTCTTTTTAAGACATGCTTGTTAAGGGCCAGTGGGTCTATTTTAGTTTCCCTAAACTGGGACCTCGGAACTCACACAGGAAGTGTCATATTTATAAAAGTGTGTATGTTGGATGAAAGTGACTTGCGCAAGGACTTGGATTTAAGTGAGGAAGAGTTGCGCAATTCGTCGACCTCACTCTCTCGCTTGTGTCTAACATGATCCAATGTCAGGACAATGTCGAGACGATTGGAAATGGACCTAGGTGCAGTGGATGACCAAGGCGTATAAAGTGCCCTGCCTTGCTCAAACTCTGCACAGAGCCTACTGGTAAATGCCTTGTCCATTGGACCAATAAAAGGTTTCATCTGCCCAATCAGCCGAGTCCAGTCTTTGCATGCAGGGAAGGCATATCTCAATCACCGAGTGGTTTAGAACCAAGTCGGCTACCCTCTCCTGGTTTAGCCAGCCTGTCAAAGCTGTTGCCTGGGGGGTGGTCGCTGTCGCATGTGAACAGCTACTGGAAGCCACAGGAGAGAGCTGAGTGCCAGACCTAGCCCAATGGTGGTGAACTGCCCTAATACGGACATGATGGTCACCTTGAATTAAGTTTCTTTTTCGTTGTGAATCATTTGCAGACAGATCATTTTGCTTTTCTTGCAGGGCAGTTATATTTGGTCCTCCTGGCAATTCTAAAGGAGCTCTCCTGTTCCTGGTGTTGAATTTAGTCATCTGGGGTTACCCAATGTATATATTTAAGGTTGGTGTTTCTCATGTTTTTAGTTGTTCACTCTAATGAGTGGAAGAAGTGTTTTTTGTTTTAATATGTTGCTCTGCCAGAAATGTGAAATCCATGTTAGTATAGGGCTAGACTAAAGGTCTTAGATTTGCATCTCCACTGGGCTTATTTGGAAGAAGAAAAAACATTGGTTTTGAGGTAGGTTTCCTCTGAAGTCTGAGTGCATCTGCCTGACAGGCAAGGTACCAGCTGTCTGCATACAAATAAACATTGGGTGGTAGTGGAAGAAGAGGAGGCAAAGAAGAATCTGGAATGACATCATCGATAAATGGACAGCACTAAATTGTTATACACTTGTTCAACAAGCGGAGAAGAGAGAGAAAGGTGACAGATTTTGTTTGCTCGTACTTTCATCAATACACCTCTATGACACTAGCAGCCTAAGGGTTATGGTGTGTCACAAAAATTGGGCAGAATATGTAATATGAATGTGTGGGCGCAAACCTCTAGTTCTGGAACCAGACTAAAGTTTAGAAGTGGATGAACAACCAGAACTATTTGCCAGAATTCACAGCCTGCGAAGAAGAAAAAGGTTCTCAGGTTGACCTAGCCTGAAGTGGGGACCAGGAAATATCCTAAGAAGTGAAGATGGCAGGCGGGGTGTTGACTACATCACTTGGTGTTGATTGGTCTGTAAAAAGACAATCTGCCATCACATACTCAGAGTGCCTCTGTTGTGTTGTTGCTGTGATTGATCCAGCAGCGCATGAGCTTTCACCCTTTGGCCCAATGCCATGTAGTGGAATTTACATGTTTTCACAAGCTGTTCTTTTCCTCTGTACAAGGTGTTCCACCTGTCTGGTCTCGGAGGGAGTAGCATTCTTCTAGTCTCGTTGAGTTTTAGGCACTCAAAGAGATGATGGTCAACAGTTTCGTAGGGGTAGTTACATAGCTGGCCTCTGTTGTGAAAAGGGTCCTTTACTTTTTTCTTGTTAAACCAAGACTAAGATGTATGTTTGTATAGGAATGCCAGGCACATAGCCTATGAGACCTGGGCCTGGAAAAGGAAAACATATTTGGGAGCCACAGATCTGTAGGAGATGAGAACCACAACAAGCATGTTGTAAGAGCTGACTAATTGGGAGCTTCCTTCGATGTCGGAGTGTATCTACCTGAGAGGCAAGGAACCAGCAATCTGCATGAAAATAATTCGGATGTGCATGCAACACTCAGGTTCTTGAGCAAAATTAAAGTCCATAGGTGGATGAACAACCAGAACTTTTCACCCGAGTTAGAGTCAGTGAATATGAAGAAGAAGCAGAAGAATACTGAAATTAGTGTTATGATTGTAAAACAATGTGTTAACGTAATTTCTAGTTTTTATGCTAAACCGAGTGTTTTACTGATTTCTGATTTTCCCTGCAGTGTTTACCTTTGACATGGAATGAGCTTCAAGTTCTTCACATAGTGTTTATGTTTACCAATGTTGTCATGTGGATTTGTTTGTACCATGCAAACACAGTAAACCCAGGGTACCTGCCTCAGCATGTGCCTGAGTACGATCAGGCCATTAAACAAGTGAGTCAGTAGGTCATATCCGGACATTCTTGATTTCTTTTTTTAATTCTGTAAGTCATAGACAGTTGTTACCTTAACTTGTGTCCATTTTGGCTTTTTTAACTTCTTTTTCTCCTCTTGCACCCCTCCTGCTTCTTCTTCTTCTTTTTCTGCATTTACCCTTGAAAAAGACACTTAGCACCTGTGTTGTTGTGGTTTATGATTGTGCTGAGATATCTGCACTTTGGGCCCAATACATCCAGTTTCAGCACGCTCAGTTAGACTTTTTTTATGACATGTTTAGTTAAAGTCAGTGAGTCTACTCCCCCCCCCCCCTCTTTATCCCCTTACCTGTAGGGCCTAAAAACTCTTACAGGGGCTTAAAACTAATAAATGTGGGTTCTTTTAGGGTTACAATAAATAATAAGCATAATGGGCGGAAAGAGTTTAACCCCAAGCAGCGGCAGTACTGACACTTCCTGGTTGGTTCAGTTCCCCGTAAATGTTAGCGTTCTTTTTATATTTACTCTGGGGCCTGCAGGAGTTTTACAAAATGAACAGGTAGACAGATTGGCTAGTTCTGCACCAGTGCGTAGTGAATTTATGCATGACAAGCTAGATGCGGTCAAGATCCTTTGGGAAGAAGTAAACAGTGCAGTGGCATTCATAGATCAATATGGTCTGGAAAGAATGATATAGCTAGGAGCGACCAGCAGATCTGGTCCACACTCTACACTCAGCCGAAAGGCTAGAGGGGCATAAAATGAAACTGCTGCCTGCACCATTGAAATTAGAACGCTTCGTTGGCTGCTAAAAATGAGGATGCAGTGCCTATGTGAATGCTCTGAGCTCTGTGTTGTCGGTACTTAGCTCACCACTCAGCAACATCACCATTCCTTCCCCATCACCCTTCCTTGCCAGTCAGTTCCTAGACAGATGCTGAGGTTTCTCTATGTTGTCATAGTTGACGTCTGTGGCTTAGGCTTTGAAATGCTGGGGTGCGAGGTTCGATCCCAGCTGCGTACCTTGCGCCTTTCGTTTGTTTTGACAGTGGCATCGTGAAACTAACCGTCCAGAAAGCAGTGGCAAACTACTTGATGTAAATTTGCCTACAAAAACCGCAACAGCCAAAAAATGTTGGGGTTTTACAATGTCCTGTAAAAGATACGCAACTAACTTAAATGTTGTCATATTTAGTTATTTATCTTTTGTCCGATAAATAACAATTGTGTAAACATGCTTCTAATTCCAGTGCTGTTTTTATTCAGCAAATAGAAAGTTTGGTATGTGAAAATGGGGCTTCCTTTTATAATTTCGGTATCCTAATCTGTTTTCCTCTTACCCTATTTGTTTAAGATTGTTATTTTGTTTTGTTGTATTTGAAAATGATGGTTTTTGTCACCTCATGATTATATTTCATAGATAATTGGTTACATATTTTTTGAACTTTTTTATAGTTATTAATTTTTATATTTTGGGGTCTTAAGTAAAGTAAAGTAAAGTTCCCTTTTCACGCCTTTCGGCGCATCAGGCATATGGGCAGAGCGTCCCATATTTTTACAGACCATCAGCACTCTGTGGGTAATGTGGTCAGCATTACGCCGGCTGTCTTTACTTTCCCAGGACAGCCCATCCTGGTACCCATTTTAGGCTGGGTCGACCTGCGACGTCCCATACCACGACAAAAATCCACGCAGCCTGCAGTGGGTTTCGATCACGGTATGCTGGCTTACGAGTCGGACTCGCAACGCCTTAGCCACGGACGCCGCATTTTGGGGTCTTACCTGCTAATTAATTGTATTCATTGCTAAGTTTCTTATTTCGGAGCCTTTTTTTTTCAAGAAGATATTCTTTGATGTGAATTATATTTTGGAGATTTATCCACTTGTTAATTATAATCTGTTGAAGTCTGTGTCTTAGGTGTTGCAAATGCGCTTCGTAATGCCGGAGTGCTGGGTTCGATCCCAGCTGCGGATGATTTGTCTTGCCTTGGTTTTGACAGTGGTACCGAGAGCTGACAGTTTTGTAAGCAGTGGCAAACTAAAGAACTTAAAATTTGTCTAGAAAACCACCACAGCCTAAAAAAAATGCTAGGGTTGGTTCTGCAACATCCTGTGAAGGATACACAACTAACTAATTATAATCTGTAAGTGATTTTCGTATTTTGAGGCCTTATATTCTCATTTGATATATTTTAGAGCTTTATCTAATTGTTAATTTTATTCTGTGTAGTTATTATTTGTTACACATCTTATCTTCTTGTTTATTATATTTTGGAGCTTTATCTGCTTATTTATTATATTTTAAAGCTTTATCTACTTGATTATTATTATTTGTAGCCTAACCTACTTGTTAATTACATTTTAGAGCTTTATCTGTTTTTAATTGTGTTCTATGAAGTCATTAATCTCTATATATTGCAGCATTATCTACTGTATTATTTTTGGGGCTCTATCTACTTATTAATTATGTTTAGGAGCCTTATCCACTTGTTAATTAACTTGTTAATTATATTTTGGAGCCTTATCTACATGTTAATGACAGGTAGCGCATTTTGACGAGTGGAAGCAAGGTCAAAATCCACTGTCACGGCTGTGTCACACGTGCCGCACTGTGAAGCCACTGCGAGCGAAGCACTGTCGTATTTGTAACCGCTGTGTGAGGGAATTTGATCATCACTGCCCGTATATACACAACTGTGTTGGATATTATAATAGGTAAGTGCAGTTCATTCATGTGTGTTTCTTTTGTTTTAATGTGTTTGTTGTCATCGTCAGTCTGAAGTCACATCTTTTTATATGTAAACTCTAGCAGAAAGTTCTGCTTGTACGCCCATGTCTGGAATTTAATCTTGCTCTTGATCTTGAGATTTGTGTGCACATCCATTTTACAGATCTGGCTTATTTGTATGCAGACTGTTGGATCCTCACCTCTCAGGTAGATGCACTCCGACTTCAAAAGAAGAAGTCTGATCATTAGTATCTCTTCTCCTAGATGGGTTACAAACCAGCATATATGGGCTCTCAGGACATTCCCATGAGTGCTCTGTCCCCATCTTCAGCAGTCAAAGCAGTTCTTTGAGCATTTGTTTGTTTCATTTAACCTATATTTGTCCTTCAAATAGTAGACCTTCATGACATATAGTGACCAGATCACGACACCCTGTTGTCTTAAAACGCTTTCTATAGCTGTTTGCCTAACTTTCTGTACTGATATTCTTCATAATGTATTTTTCTAAAAATTTAATTAAAATGAAATGAGGCTCATGGTTTTCCTGTCTTTTTATTTAGTTTTGTTGCAACCCATTGTTGCTGTGATGTTTACATTAGAACTCTTCTGGGTTTGAAATACAACTTTTGATATAACCGCTTTAAGATTGTTAAAAAAAAAAATACACAGCAAAAAATAAATCTTTAAGCCTGAGGATTTAAGGTCACATGACTAGTGCTGTTGCCACGACTGTGTAAGTGAGGATTTTTTTTTGCCCCTGACAAAAAAACAAATTCCCAGCCTTGCCGAGGATTCGAACCTGGGTCTCTCTCTTGAGAGCCCAACATTCCAACCGTTCAGCTAGCCACTCCTTAAATACACAGCATGGAATAAAAAAAGATTAAAGTAAATAATAAACTGAATACTTAAATGTGTCCTCTTTTTAAATGTCGCTTCATTTATTTGCTGTGACTGATGCTTCATATCTGACACTGTTGCTCAACTTATGATGTTTTCACCACATGCTTTATTTTCTTCATTATAATTTCATAGCCAAATCAGTAACACATTTCTGAGTTCCTGTATAGAGAGAGCAGAGTTCAGGCTTAATTATTATCTAATAAGTGGAAAATTATAACAGAGATGAGTTGTCTTAGAAGAACTTGCCAGAATAACAAGGAAAGATAAAACCAAAGATTAAGAGATTAGAAGACTTGGAATGACACCAGATACAAAGTTCATAAAGAACAATAAATTAAATGGGAAAACAATCTGACAAGACTGCCCTGGTGCCAGCTACCACAGAGAGCCATGCTGAAGAAATATAATGAATGCAGAACAAGGAAAAGACCAGGTAAAGGATCTGACAATCGCATCAGGGATAACCTTATAGAAATAAAGTCTAACAATGGCATCAGGGATAACCTTATAGAAATAAAGTCTAACAATGGCATCAGGGATAACCTTATAGAAATAAAGTCTAACAATGGCATCAGGGATAACCTTATAGAAATAAAGTCTAACAATGGCATCAGGGATAACCTTATAGAAATAAAGTCTAACTTGCAGAGTGCCCTCGAAATAACATAGAGGAAATCCTTACTCCCCCTTTTCCCCCCTAATTTTTGTCTGTCTCCCCAGCACTTATCTTAGAAGGAAAAGAAAACGAAAAAGAAGAATAATAATAATGTGATTTCAGTCATGTCAGTTGCTAAACTAGCTATAAGTACCATTATACTTGGAGTGTTTTCTTCCTAAACAGTATTAATGTTAGTAAACCTTAGGATTCTTACTGTAAATTTTTGCTTCAGTATTACGAGTGTCTTTAGATAATTTTCTATGTTTGTTTGCTTAATCCAGTGTTTTAACAGTTTGTTTTGGGGTCACTGTGTAGAGTTTTGAATGTTTCTCTTTTTAATTTGGATTCTTGTATACCTTTGCCTAGTTGTTAAAAATATTTGATATAGATCCAGTTTTCATAGTTATAGAATATTCATCCTGCTTTTTACACCAAATTTAGTTGGTATTTTGCATATAGGATCTTGAGATTGCTTGAATGAAAGAATAGAATTGACATCACTGCACTTGGACATTTCTGCACATACTCTAACCTCATCCTTAATCACCACTGTCTGCTGCTGGTACTATTGACAAAGTACATATTCACTGCCTGCAGAAGATGGAGCACTTAAGGCAATAGCCCCAAACACAGTGATGTCAGTAAAAGTACAAGTTAATGATAATGAATATTGTGTGCACGCATGCTCCTAAATGGTTGTATTTTGATAGTGAAGTACTAAATTACCTAACCTTTTTCCCATAGGGTGTGGTTTTTGGCATTTGTTTGCTCTCTGGGAGCCATGGCTGCGGTAGCCGACTACTTATGTTTGTACATACTTTACTACATCTCATGGGACTGGCTGATTGTCATTGGGAGCGTGGAGCTGCTGGTGTTTACATGTGTCATTGGTGTAGTCGTTAATATGACGGTAAGGATATGGCTTGTGGAACCTGAAGACAGGATGTGTCTGACTGTTAATGCTGCAGTTATAATTCTCATGTTGCATGCGTCATTTACTTTGGCACATGTAATTTGGCATCGTTGTATTTGCTACGTCAACTTTGTACTCATAATAATTTAATCTTCTTGAATCTTTTTCTTTTATGTTTGCACTTAAAAGGGTGGTTGAATTGTGGTTTATTGCTAGGTTGTGATATCAGCATCTTTCAGCCCAGTGCCTCGGATTGCCCTCTCATTAGTCAACTTGTCTGACAGGCTTATTGGGGGCACTGGGTCTGTTCTTGTTTGTCCTAAAGTGAGACTGGAATCCTCATGGGGAAGCTCAGTGAAGGATGAGTGATCTTCAGCTTATTTAATAATCAAAAAAGTCTTAGAATGTTTATTCTATATTTTCCTGTTAAGACACTTTTGTTCTTGGTTTCTGTCTAAAACAGTCATGTTTAAAAAAAAAAATTGCAGTCTTTTTGTTGAGTAATATAAGTATTTTTAAAAAAAATACAATTTACAATATGAGTAATAAGATAAGCTGATCACATTGGCCTTGGAAGGTAAGGTAGGTCTTCATGTTTGTTGCTTTCTGTGTAAAGAAACCTGGATTTGCACACCCCTGAAGGATGTAACTGATGTCACTATTTAAGGTAAGTGATATTTTCTGATAGTAAGATGTTCTAGAGTGAAAACTGGTTTGTACAGATAAAGATGAAAATGTTTAGTTTGAATGCAGAAACCCTGTGTAAAACCGCTTTCAGTGAGATAGTTCTTGCCAATATTTATATTATTTGGGGTCCTGGCATACATGTTTGGGTCCTGTTTGCTGCATCAGAGTTTATGTATAATTGAGAGTTTCTCTGAGTGTAATCTAAGGGAGAAGACTGCAGCACTTAATGAACCCAAATCAGGTAAAACTCTCGGACTAATCAGCTGACTGACCTTGATGGGTTGCCGTGATGTACCTCAGCATGGTGACGACGATGTTAAGGGTCGACAATGGATGTTTGGGGACAGGATCTGTAACGTGTGTTACCGCCCGTTGGAAATGTTGCTCATCTCAGCTGTGAGCAAATCTCTTGACAGACGATTCAGCCGAGGATTGTCATTTGGTAGTATATTTGTTTAACAGTTTTTACTCATGTTCTAAATGAATTTTGATAAACGTTTTCACCCTTGCAATGGGGAATGTGCTGAGAGCCAGAGGATTTCTGGGCACTGCATCTCTGGAGGCCACCAACTAACTCCAAGGTGCCCTGCCAGCTTTTTTATGCTCATTTGAGCCATTATCTGTGGTGCATGATGGGGACATGCGGCAACAATATTGCATGAGGATCCATGAAACCAGCACAAAGTCAGCTGGTGCCCAAGGTAAGGTACGGAGTAGTTCCTAATACAAACCTCACTGACCTTAACTTTCCCTCCTGACTGACAGAACTCACAGAGCTGGGGTCTTTTTATAATTATAATCAGTATGTTGCTGCTGTTATTTTTTTCACATTCATGTCTGAAAAATGTTGTCCTGTAGAAATTACTGTCACTAGGGTGTAAAGATCCGTTCCCAACCTTTTTCTAGTCAAGACCCAATTTTCTAGAAGCAATGTGACCTGTGAACCCATACATTAAAAATTAGGCTTTTTCGGGTAAATAAAAATATCAAAAATACATTATGGGGGGGGTCCCCTTTTTAAAATAATGTTTATAGCTCATTACTGCCTGTCAACCCTACAGAAAATCCTTTGTTATCTCATTTGGGCTCTTACTCTTGGCTTGAGAATTCAAGGTGTAGAGCCTTCTTTTATCCTAGACGACGACGTTACAAGATGGATATTTAGGTAGACTTTATCTAATAACATGTTTATACACTTGCCTGTTGGCAATTGTATTCTAATTATTGTTCTATGAACAGACCCATTTGTGTAGATGGTTCTTTTTCCCTCCAGCAACTTCCGTATTTTGTTCAACATAGATTTTTTTTCCCTCTTTAATATCCCAATTTATATTCATTGTCATAGTTGATGTCTTATTTAGATCTGGGGAATAATACTCACTGTCACAGTTGCTAGTTCCATTTATTTATCTGGAAACATATTCATTGTCAGTTTTTGCTAGTATTATCTCATTGTGACTCATTTGTATCTGAAACTGTTTTCCTATGGTAAACACAAGTATATTACATGTTTGCCTGGTTTTATATTGGCTTCTATTACCATTTGCTACTTATTGATTTAGTTAAGAACTGACATCACAGCACTCTGGACATTCCCATAAGTGCCTTCTCCCCATATTCAGCAGCCGGTGGAGAGTTCCACTTTGATGGTACCAGTAGCATTTTGGTTGTCTGTCTGTCTTGCCTTTCCTCTGAGGGTTAAGTGTCAGCCAGATTCCCCAGGTCACTCCCTGATGCATGGTTCTCTTCAGACCCCGATAATCTATTGATATTTCTGCATTGTTCACCAGAAGGGCCTTGACTACATCTAGCTTGTCATACATCACTATAACCCCCATTTGTGCAGTACCTGTGAATGTATCTGCACTGACTTTTTAACTCAGCAAGTAACTAGATTTTGTTGGTATTATTACATTGTGACCGATTTTAATTAACATGTTTTTTGTGTGTTCATTATGGGGTGCCACCATCGTGTAGTGGCTAGATGCTTGCCGGGGATCCGAAGGTCATGGTGCATGGGACCTGAAGGTCATGGTGCCAGGGGTCTGAAGGTCATGATGCATGGGATCCGAAGGTCTTGGTACCAGGGATCTGAAGGTCATGATGCATGGGATCTGAAGGTTATGGTGCCAGGGGTCTGAAGGTCATGATGCATGGGATCCGAAGGTCATGGTGCCAGGGATCTGAAGGTCAGGATGCCTGGGATCTGAAGGTCATGGTGCTAGGTATCTGAAGGTCATGATGCATGGGATCTGAACATCATGGTGCCAGGGATCTGAAGGTCAGGATGCATGGGATCTGAAGATCATGGGTTCAGGTCCTGATAGAACCAGTCACTTTATTTTTTAGAAATGACATTGGCTCTCAGGTCGACCCAGCCTTGAATGGGTGTCAGGTAAAGTCCTGGGAAGTAAAGACAGCCAGTGTGATGTTGACCACATCACCTACAAAGTACCAACTGGTCTACAGAATATAGGTCTAGCTTGATATGCCCAATACACCTGAAGGGTCCTTTACTTGTTACTTGTTCATTGTGAGTGCATCTCCTCAGTATCTGGTTTTATATCAGCTTCTCTTAGTTATGCCATGTTCTGCTATTTAACTTGGTATCTTCTTCTTCTTCTTCTTTTGTCAAAATCTGCTTGTGCCGCTAGGCGTCGCAGTCTATCAGATGATCGGCAACCGAGCCAGGGCGCGCTCAGTCGCTTCATATGCCGTGATGTTATGAAGTCTCAAGTTGTCCGTGACTCCTTCAATCCATCTTCTTCTTGGTCTTCTCCTGCCTCTTGTTGTTTCGATTTTCATGTTGTATGCTCTTGATGCTGGCATCGTTGGTTCCATTCTCATTAGGTGACCAAACCATTTCATTCTTTGCTTCTCAATAAATTTAACGATGGGTATGGCTCCAATAGTTCTTGTAATCACATCGTTTCTCACTCGATCTCTTCTGGTTTTATTCACAGTCATTCTCAAACATCTCATTTCACAGGTGGTTAGTCTTCTCTCGTGTTCTTTTGTTAATGTCCAAGTTTAACTTTGTATAGTAAAGTAAATAAAGTTCCTTTTTATGCCAATGGCTTATTGGGCATATATTCTTTTTTGTTGTCATGCTGGGTATATGATGCTAGACTAATATTTGTATAGACCAATTAGCACTTGATGGCTGATGTGATCACCATCGCGCCGGCCATCTTTACTTCCCAGGATATTACCTGGTAATGCATTGCTCTAGGACCCAAGACCAATAGTCCACACTGGGAAGAAAGGTAATATCAAAATGGATAGGAGCGACTGACCAAGTAGTCATAGCGCTTGGCTCTCATGAGGGTGACTTAATCTGATCCTTGGTAATGGATGATTTTTTGTCTGCTAGGGTGAAAACAAAAATTCTGTCCTGAACAGTATGTAGCGAGGCTTCTAGCCATGCAGCCTGAAGTCCCTGGGCTCGTAACCACCTGTTCTATACCACCATAAAATACAGGTGGTAAAGATAGTTTTTTGGGGGGAGGTGGGTGATCAAAATCAATGCCGTTAAGGACGGGAAATCCCATGAATTTGTCATCTTCTATATACACACAAATAAACAAATGGGGAACCCTTCTTCTTTCTATGAGTGCCTATCAATACATACATACATTTACCTGCAGTATGCAAAGTTATTAGATATTTCACACCACTAAGACTGCTGCAAGAATATATTTATAAATCCCTGTTATAACAGATTTAAAAAAAAATAATAATAATCACAAAAGTAGAACTTTATTCTGATATCTTTGCTGTACAAATTGTGCCTAAATAAAAACACATGTACTTATTTACCTCGCAACAATTGCTTCTAGTTTCACAATTTAAAACCAGGCTTGTGTGATATTGTTCAAACATTTCCTGTATTTGCCCTCTGTAATTTGTTCTGTATTTATCAGCTGAATCTAAATTTAACTTTTTAATAGCTGAGTGTATTTGTTTTGATTATTTTTTAGTGCAATAAATTTTGACACTCATATCAGTTGTTGTAGACGCATTATTATGTGACTGCAATAATGTGATCTGGACTGTTTCAAGTTAGTGTATTTCTTTATAAATTAACTTTCATTTTTCATTTTCATAAATTGCTTTGTTTTTTTGTAGAAACTATTATAATTGTACACAGTCATAGTGACCTTCTTGTGTTATATAGCGAAATGTATCATTTCATTGTTGTGAACACTGACAAAATCACATTGTAGTTGTTACTTTTTTTTTTTTTTTAAATATTTTTTTCTTTATTAGATGTGTGCAGTTATTTTTTTTTTTTAAAGCAGAAGTATCAG